TGCTCCGGTAATCGTAAAATTTTTTCGATTTCGTTTTGGGCGAAAACGAAGCGTTTTCGTTTTTAGCTGCTCCGGTTTTCGGCAAAGTTCTGCTATCGGAATGTTTCGTTTTCTCATCGTTTCTCACTGCTCAAGCAGCTAACTTCTGTTTTTGGTAATAAGCAAACAACGTAAAGTACTGCCTATTATATTTACAATTGCCCTTTTTATAAGCCAGAAAAAGGCAAAAAATTGTAGAGTTAAGCAAATTTAGGCACCTAAGATGCTGCCACACTTTTCACAGTTTTAATTCCGGCGGTCTCAATTTATTATGTCGTTAATTTTGACCATTTAAGTAATCACATTAAATAGCATTAATTATAAACAACCATTTTGGCGGTCCTTTAAAGTTATTAATGTATTCATTTATATTCCATAAGTATTTTTAACTGGCTGTTTCGTTCCACCAACAATATGGCAACCTTGGCGATAACTTTTTGCGGTGAACCTATCGACCTATCGCCAAAACGAGAAAACTGGTTGAACACGGCAAAAATTTTTTTGTCAAATCTGAGGTGGGGTCAGAAATAAATTTTTTTAAAAATAACTACGTGCCAGAATGATCTTGTGGTGGTGTGGAATAAACATCAATATACCACTGAGTAGACTATTTTTTCCTTTTGTAAATAAGATCTGATTTCATATAAAAAAAGCCATTTAATTTTCATTCCGGCCAGAAAAAGGTGCCCGTTTTTCAAATCGAAAAAATCTTTCGTTTTCGATTACCGGAGCACCAATTTCTCGTTTTCAAAAACGAAAACGAAAAAATCTTGCCGTTTTCGATTACCGGAGCAGGCCTGATAAACTTTTTTATTATTCTAGAATTTTCGTATAAATTTCATAAAAATCGGACAACTATATCTTATAGCTGCCTTATAGGGTCTTCCCACACAACATTAAAGCGCATTTAGCATCCGTTGCACAAATGCTCCATAAGGTTTTGCCGTTCCGAATTTTCCCAAATGGGCCGGCGTTAGTTCAGCATTAAAATCTAACCACGGTTTGTTTGGCGATAGTTAGGCGATAGTTCTTCGGTGCAACTCTGATTCTTCTTCTTAATTTGACCATTCACCACGAAAATGTAAACAAATTGGCGTGGAACAAATGAGATATGGAATTTAAAACGTGGCGCCAAAGCTACAAGCATACCCAAAATAGATGTTGGCGTTTTTTCTGTATATTCTTGCCCCAATATGTCCCCAATTGTTACTATTTAATATAAACCGCCTACCTCTACTTTATTTTAAAGATTTTGGATGCCTATACCACCTATAGACACTCTTCGGGGAATTTGCTCTTTGTTAGAGAAAAATCATTAGAAAAACTAAAATTCCTTGTCATTTAATTCATTTAAATTTAGTGCGGATAAATTCTGACGCAATCTGTGCATTTTGCTGTTGTACAACAGCCAAAATAGTTGGTAAATGCTCCATTTCAAATTTGCAACTGCCAATTCGACAGTCTTTGTTTACGTTTTCATGAGCCACAGCTGATCGATCAGCTGTTCGGATGCTAAATGCGCTTTAATGTTGTGTGGGAACACGAGTTTCACATTTGTGAAAAATCCCAAACGTTCCTCACAAATGCGCTGTGTGGTAAGACAGTATTAGAAGCGATCGGTAAATGTATAAAATATGTAATACTGTCTTCCCACACAGCACATTTGTGAGGAACGTTTGGGATTTTTCACAAATGTGAAACTCGTGTTCCCACACAACATTAAAGCGCATTTAGCATCCGAACAGCTGATCGATCAGCTGTGGCTCATGAAAACGTAAACAAAGACTGTCGAATTGGCAGTTGCAAATTTGTTCCTCGCCAAATTGTTTACATTTTCGTGGTGAATGGTCAAATTAAGAAGAAGAATCAGAGTTGCACCGAAGAACTATCGCCTAACTATCGCCAAACAAACCGTGGTTAGATTTTAATGCTGAACTAACGCCGGCCCATTTGGGAAAATTCGGAACGGCAAAACCTTATGGAGCATTTGTTCAACGGATGCTAAATGCGCTTTAATGTTGTGTGGGAAGACCCTATAAAGCTGGGAATGTAAAACTGTAACTGTCAAACTGTAAACATAATAAGTATATGTCGGAGAGAAAGGCTTTCTCTGAAGTAGGCATGAGGCTTTATTGTGTGACCATGGGTTGAGCTGGTTACAAATCATGTAATAGGTACTAGTTCTGGTGGTATGGGGACTCAGTTAGTGAACTGAGTCTGGTGTGGCTTCGTTTGCGTTGCTAGGTGGTCACACTCGCGTTTGGCTACTTTCTTTTTTCTCTGACTTTGATGCAGCGAGGTTGTGACACGTCTGTGGATTACAAGAAAATATGAAAAGCAACATTGGCAGCGAAGACTCACCGCATCAGCCGGAGCTTGGTACGGATCAACAGCGGTTGAGGCAACAGGAGAACAATATCGACGACGTGGCTATAGAAAATACCTGTTCGCCGATATATAGGTAAAATGTAATGAAACTCTGTTTTGTGAGTGTTTTCAGCATTTAAATCTATAATATAAACCAATCTGCAAGGGTATACAAACTTCGGCGTTCCGAAGTTAGCTTCCTTTCTTGTTTTAAGATAATTTTCTTAATGTATTCTTGACATATTCTGAAAATATTAAAATTATTATAAAATATTAATATCTTACCTCAAGTAAATCTCATACTTTTGACATGAAAAAAAAATATACTGAATTTTGTAACTTTATAGTCTTTCAAAAAAATATATTTTTAAACAGTTTAAATTTAATTAACAATTAAATAAAAAAAAAATAATAACAAGAAAGGAAGCTAACTTCGGCACACCGAAGTTTGTATACCCTTGCAGATTGGTTTTGATGTTTATATTATAAATTTAAATGCTGAAAACACTCACAAAACAGAGTTTCATTACATTTTACCTATACTTATTATGTTTACAGTTTGACAGTTACAGTTTTACATTCCCAGCCTTACATTTTCTCTATATCTACCGATCGCTCCTATGGCAGCTATATGATATAGTTGTCCGATTTTCATGAAATTTATACCAAAATTCTGAAATAATTAAAAAGTCTTAAATCTCAGAGTAGATGAAAATACGTTGAAAAACAACGAAGTTATCATTTTTTTCCTATTAATTTCCTGATCGTTCCTATGGCAGCTATAAGATATAGTCGTCCGATTTTCATAAAATTTTTACCAAAATTCAGAAATAATATAAAATGGCAATATCTAAAAAATGGTGCAAAAATGAAAAACAGCAAAGTTATAATTTTTTTCTAAAAATTTATCGAACATTTGTATGGCAGCTATATGATATAGTCGTCCGATCCGGCCCGTTCCGACATATATAGCAGTGAGAGTATATAGAAGACTATATGTAAAGTTTCATTCAGATAGCTTTAAAACTGAGGGACTAGTTTGCGTAGAAACGGACAGACGGACATGGCTAGATCGACTCGGCTGTTGATGCTGATTAAGAATATATATACTTTATGGGGTCGGAAACGTCTCCTTCACTGCGTTGCAAACTTCTGACTGAAATTATAATACCCTGCAAGGGTATAATAAAAACAAATTAAATAAATAGATAGATAGATAAGGCTATTCAGAATGTGTCGATGTCAACCAATGACCACTGCACCATGAATTAATATTTGTGAATGAAATTACACTGAACTTATATATAAGCTCTTCTCTGACTCTTGTTACTAATTCTAGTTTTTTGGAAACCCGTCTCGCAGTATTTCCATTGTTTGTATTTCTAGTGCTAGCAATAGGTATACCTACCAATAAGCCCACTTCCTCTCCTCACATGTCAACTAAATTGGCTACTTTTTTGACTTGGGCTTTCGGGCACAGATTACCAAGAAGCCTTCCTGGTCTCCCAATATCGATTAACTTTATTTTTCTGCTAAACTTTCGCTGAGCCATAAGCCAAAAAGACGTCTCCTTGCGATCGACATTACACTTATAAAGTGTAATAGAATCAAGAATTGGACGTGGTTTGCTCCTATTTTGGACATTTTTACACCACAGGGACTTACACTTTTAACAAATACTAACATTAGCTTAAATACGATTGAATCACATTAGTTAGCTCAAATAGCAAGGTCCACGCAAGGAAAGATTTTGCAGAGAGCGCTGTCTAAGCCCTTTGGCCTAAACCAACGGCCGATGTCTGCATAAAATCAAATTATAACCTTAACTGGACCAGTTTCTGAGACATACCTTATCCACAGCGAACTGGCACTTTTCACACTTTACTAGATCTGCAATATTTCCTTTTATTTATTAGCTAATATAATATACATTTTAAAGTCAGCCACATGTGTAAGTACGGTGGAAAACACTTACAAACTTTTTTGTAGGTGCTAATAGCTCCGCCGAACATAAGGTTTTAGCTGAAAGCTTTGACATAGCGGTGAAATCCAGTGATCTTCTTGTGCTCTTTTATTCCATCAGTTACAGCTGTTTGCTTTATTAATTTTAGCTAACAATAAACGCTACCTGTTTTTTTTTTCTGAAAAGTTGGAAACTACAGATTAAAGTGCTGTCTGGACACGATAACTCAAAATCAGCAATCCAATAGGTTTGAAATTTGTCACAAAACTTTTTAACCAATTCTACACACGTGGAGCTTTTTGTTTAAATTTTATTTTATATTTTTTTTTAACAAATTAACTTAATTTTGTTGTCAAAATATAATTTCCAATTTTCATAAAAAATCTGAAAAAATGTTAAAATAAGAAATCCACGTGAATTTTTTTGGGCACTTATCCTTTAACGAATGCAATATATTGTTCGTAATATTGAATAAATTTGTGGATAGTACAGATGTGTACATCCTACACCGTAAACCAACATTTTATGGAGTGTGCGGCATTTGAAGTCATAAATATGAAAAAATAAGAGCTTAGAAACAATAAATTTTTTAAAAGTAAAAATTAAAATATAAGGATACGGTTCATAGTTTAGATACATTTATAAAAAACATTTTTCCAATCTTCGTACAAAATTATATCTACCACCCTACAGTGGTCGCTTCTGTAAAAGGCTTGCTGTTTAATGTGTAGAACTGTGAAAACCACATTCGAAACTTCTTAATGGATGCATCTTCCTTTGCCAAGATTGGACTTCGGCGGAACATTTTATTATTCCATATATTAATATCTCGTTGGAACTAAAATATAGGTACAACAATTATTTTTATTTTAAAGATGGTTTACTTACCATAAGACTTTCACCACAAATAAATATTTTCATAAGTGGTGCAAAGCAACGAGGAGCATAAAATCGATGAACAACTTTTTGTAAAAGGGGCCCCATTGGTGTAATACTTTGAAAAACTTGAAAATTTCCAAGTAAAGTAGAATTAATCTTCAGGCATACAAAAGATGGTCCTATCTAAAAAATACACTTTAGTTGGAAATTATAAATACATGTAAGTAACAAACCTGTCTGCCAGAAATATCCATACGAAAACAGTAATACTTTCCAAATATTACCAATGCATGAGTAAGATTTACTTCCGCTAAATGCTTGCTTTTCCCGAATCGTGGAAACCAACTGTACACAAATAGATAAATAAAAATGGTTGAAACTATAAATTTGTTACCATTTTCAGATCCTTTTTGTTCAAAGTTCGAACTATATCAATAATCTAATAAGTAACTAATAAGAAAAAAAAAGTCTATTCAAGAGGCTTTGTTTTTTTAATTTTGGACTTATATCAACCAAGTATGACGATTTGTAGTAAGGTGCAGGGTGTTATAATTTAGTCAGAAGTTTGCAACGCAGTGAGGGAGACCTTTCCGACCCTATAATGTATATATATCTAGCCATGTCCGTCTGTCCATCTGTCCGTCTGTCCACCTGTCCCTCAGTTTTAATGAATGAAACTTAGCATGTAGTCTTCTATATATTCTTATTGCTATATATGTCGGAACGGACGACTATATCATATAGCTGCCATACAAATGTTCGATAAATTTTTAGAAAAAAAAAATTATAAGCTTTTATATATTTCCTTTAATTTTTTTCTAGTATAATATCATTCTTCCAATATGAGGGAGCATGTAACGTGTAACGTCGGGCTGCGGTGCTGTGACTTTGAGAATCGATACTTGCGGGGGCACGCTATAGAATCCGGTTTTGCCCGTCGGCTTGGGGGGTGATGTTCTTGCTTGTATCGACTCCAGCAATGGCTACCCTTTTATTAACAAATAGATCGAATTGAGCGTGCTGCGACGAAAGAAATGAGCAAAACAGAATCGGTATAGAGAATAAAAGATTCGCGGGAAAAATAGAAACAGAAGAGATGTCGAGATATTCAGGGATGCGAACCCACGGCTGTTGTTGTGGTCGCGACATGCCCTCCCATCCTTGATCACGCGGCTTAGAGCTGGGCTCTGGTGACCCCTTTGAAATTTCCTACGCACGCGTACACATCAGCAGAGTTCAGTTAAGTTCAAATTCAGAAATACATGGTTTTATTGTCCTTAGTTATCGACTAATTCGGAAAGAAAATGTTCGGAATTCAGTATTACTTAAAATTATTAGCAACGAGAGGGAGAGGGATATCTTAAGCCTAAACAATTTAAATTGATATAACTTAATTTAATCTTGAGATCATTTTTGTTCATTTTCTTTGAAATATTTCAAATTCTTTTCTTTAATGATTACTTTTGGACTAAATCGACCAATAACTACTAGACTTAAAACAACAAAATGCAACTAAAGGTATGAACTTTATTAAATGTCTTCAAGTGTGGCGATAATCTTAAGCATATTTGGTTTACTGTAGACAATGGAATTAAGCTTTACTTTACTTTTAGACCCTCTCGAGAAATACGAATGAAAACTTTTACCAGGTGTTTATAACTCCCTTTATGTTTCCTCCCGCGATGAAGATCGATCTTCCGAAGGGGTTATCTGTAAAGCAAATCAAGCGAGGCATCTTCTCGGCTTGACGAGTCAATTTTCGAGGAAATCTCACTAGAAATTCTCGCTGGTGCAGTCGCATGTGCTTATCTTCCGTTTTCCTACAGCCAACTGACTCTTTCCGAGTTAAATTCTAACCTTACGCAAACATTAGCTAAACTTTACAAGAGAATTTACGCTTTACATTAAATTTGGCCCTTAAACCTTAATATTTATAACTGAGGATTATTTCTTATAAGACGAGCGAAGAGTGAGGTTATGGCAGCGTGCCGATGTTAGCAAGCAAAGGGGCTGAAGTGAGGTAACGGCCGCATGCCAAAACCGACAAAAAAAGTGCGACGAACGTGAGGTTATGGCCGCAAGCCGAAGCCACCGGTCTAAGATGCGAGATAAATATTCAATTCCGGTGAGATGTCGTAGGACGGGCACCATTCTCCTTCTTTCGATATTGCTCCTTTCGGCGTTGAGGCACGAGTCTAGGCCTCCATCGTGGTCCTTTATATGCTCCTTTATATCTCCTTAAACTTCCACTCGAGCTGGCCTCAGGGGTGCTCCCCTAAGCCACGCGGTCTCCGGCTCGATCGAAGAAGCTTTTCGAATGGAAACTTCTCGAAATAATAAGACGCCGTCCTCGAGCGGCCGCAACCGCAATGCTCGTGACGCAATGGCGACGAGGTTGACCCAAAAATCAGTCCTTTATAAGCTCCCTTATATCTCCTTAAACTTCCACTCGAGCTGGCCTCAGGGGTGCTCCCCTAAGCCACGCGGTCACCGGCTCGATCGGAGAAGCTTTTCGAATGGAAACTTCTCGAAATAATAAGACGCCATTTTCGAGCGGCCGCAACCGCAATTCTCGTGACGCAATGGCGACGAGGTTGACCAAAAAATCAATCACTTGTTGACCTGCAAACAGTTAAACATTAAACTCACTTCCCAGACTGTTTTGCCAATTTGTTACTTTAGGCTTTGACTATCCACTTTTCACCCCGACTACGAGAGCTGCTGCTGCTACTGCTCGCGAACAAACTTCGGCGATCACGCGGACTCGGGGCAAAACCCAGTCAAGGCGAGACGTTTTCCCAAAACACAATGTACCCCTTTGGAGTCGGGATTATTTGCTCCTTAAGCACGCGCACGTCTAGCTCGAAAAATAGGCAGAGATAAAAATGATGGCGGAAATTGGCAACTGACGTTTGAAAGGAGTCACGATCAGCAACACTATATGCTATCAGCTGATTCTCGATAACTAACTCCACTAGGTGGCAACGTCATCACTAACTCCACTAGTTTTTTTTATCGATCTCCGATGGCGGGCAATTTAAATGGTCGCTTCAGGCCGTTACAAGCAGCGCTTGGCCCGCTTCATTTAGGAATTCAACCGGAATCCTAAGAGCTGCTCCCTCATTAAGAAACATGCAAGATGCGTCCCCTGTATCCATCGATGATTTGCTTCATATTCCCATCCATGGGCTGGGTACCAAAATTGTTTTGTTGTTCCGTCCACAATTGGTTGTGCCATTGCGTATTCATGGGGAGGTAGCGCTGGCAGCTTATGCTCTTACTTGGCTAATGTTATTTTCGCAAACTTTTTACACTTTCCACTTTTCTTGATTTGAGAAATTGGTGGTGGCTGATCGTGACGGTTGAGGTACAAACTAGAAGTGATTCTTAAGACACGGCTAGTCTTTACGTAGACCAACAAAAATATCCACAAACAAATACAAAAATGTTGGGCCAACTGTTGATATCCTTTGCATCCTCTTTTGAGGAGAAACCGTTAGCTAATTGAGCATATCGTATTTCATATGGACGTTTGTTTTGTTTTTTTCATATGTACGGTTCAGGATCGCTCTGGGCGGAGTAGGATCGCTGCGGTGCGTCCTTTTTCAATTGTCTCCCCCCTCGCTTTTTGTATATGATGGGTGCACGTGCATCGCTCCATCGTATCCATATTCTTTGTTTTACAAGTGTCCATTGACCCCTCTATTGACAGGATGACAGCTAAGCCTAATTAATTGCATTTTTATTGCCTAAACCATACCAAATTTTTACAGCTAACCTTTTAATTAATTGCCTTTTTATTACCCTTTTTTTTGCGACATCAAGCAATACGATTAAACATTTTTATACCCTGATATTATAATATTAGTCAAAGGTTTTGAATGAAGGATACAGTTGGCTGAATTATTGTAAGATTTGATTTGAATTTAGATAAATTATGAAGGCTAGCGTAAGTTAGCTTAGCGCGAAGGCGGGAGCATAATAAAGATCTCTGTCGCTCTTAATGAATTCGCCCCGTATTCGCCACCTTCGTAAAGCTAGGCTTTAAGGATAATATGTTTGGTGCTGTCGGGGGCCTCGCAAGTCGCGTCCTAAATTTCCCAGAGAAAAATATGCAGAATATGATGATAATGATTGGGGTTTGAGATCAATCGATCCGTCTTGGGTAGTGGCCGAGCCTTATGATCCCATTGAAGGTTTTACAGATGACATCAATAGCACAATTCGGAAGTTCAATAATAATTTTTTGAGTTATTCGGTCATCGCTGGGAGCCTTGTTCAGTTCCCTGATGACCTTCGTGATCTCGTTAGGACGAAATGATGTTCAGCAGGGTTCGGCTGGAAAAAGGCCTGGAGATGTGAGGCAAAAGTTTCGGCTCTGTCTTTGTCGCTGCTGGCCGACCTAATCAAAAAAATCGAGGGAAAAGCACAAAAGATAACAGCTTATGCGTCTGATATAAGCATAAATGATGTCGAAGGACAATGTAGAAGGAAGAGTGAAAAAGGCACCATACCGCTATACGCATCAAAGACGATGCTTAACAGCGTATGGGGACTCTCACCCGCTCTAATGCATTGGGTCTACATATCGGTAGTGCGTCCGAATCTGCTGTATGGAAAAGAAAACGTATAATAAGCTTATGGAGAGAACCCAGTGGCAGGCTCTGCTCTGCATATCAGGGGCGCTGAGGTCAACCCCTACCAAAGCACTCGAAGCCTTAATCGGTATATCCCCTAGATATCCAAGCGCAACTGACAGCATCAGGAAACTTGTCTCTACAAGGATTTGGGCACAGTTCAATTGGTCGAGACATGAGCAGTACATCTGACTACATGATATCCAGAATGTGCCTAGATGTAAACACAACAGTATTCATGGGACCAAATGACTGGACCGCCGGCTCCAATATGGTTGGAGGAGTTGAAGCGGGCATATACTGTGCAGACCCTGAAATGAGGCTGTCGTATAGGCTACCAATCTACTGCAGTATATTCCAGTCGGAAGTATTTGCCATCAGGAAAGCAACAGAGCTTGCGCAGAGCATAAACCGTCCACATGAGGCGGTCAATTTGTTCGTAGACAGTCAAGCGGCGATAAGTTCCATGCAATCATCAGCCGTCAGTTCCAAAAGTGTACTGGCAAGCGGGGAGTCACTAGATAGCCTGAGCATGACTAAGTCAGTGAGGATCTACTGGGTTCCCAGCCACCAAGGCATAGACGGTAACGAGACCGCGGACGAACTTGTAAAGGAAGGCGTCGGACTGGTGAGTAAAGGAGCAGAAAGCATTCCTGTCCCCCTAAGAACACTCCAAAGCGAGCTAGAGAGACGGGATGACGCAAACGC